AAGTTCATTTTGAACCATGGTGAATAGTAAATGAAACAGATCAGGTTAACAAATTTTTGTTATTCAAATTTTACTAAGGTTTATCTTTTTTTTTCTTGTATTTTAGGGAAGGGTCTATAGGATGTTCAGGGTCTCACTATTAGATCAGACTTGCAGTTATCCACCTGTTTACAGCCTCCCAAGAGCTGGGATTACACATGCATGCCACCACACCCAGTCTCAATTGCTGTCTCAGTGCACCCTGGGGGTGGGGCTGGCACAGCAGGCCTGGGGAGGGAACCCCTGACCCCTGCACCTGCTTGCAGATGCTTTAATCTGCTCAGCAATTTGGCTGACCCCCCCAGGATGATAAATTATTAATGTTTTAAATTTTCATTGTTTTACATATTTCAAAAATTAACTAATAAATTAACTTGCTAATAAAATGTTATTTTAAAACATCTATCTGGTGCTAAAAGAAAATATTTTGAGGCCTTTTTTCCTTAGCTTGAATAACTTGAAAAAAAAATTTAAGTTGAAGTTATTTCTGCTTCCTGGGGCAGAATACTTCTCCAGTTGACACAATGGACATCTCAGAGCAGCAAGGCACTGCTGAATTACTTAATAAAGGTTCTAGCCATCTCAAGTTGACACGATGTGTCAATGATTACAATTAATTTAGAAAGTATGCAGTTACACACTTTCAAGCGCAATTGCACACAATGAGTCATGCGTACAACCACAGTGAAGTGTCCCATCCTCCTCTGCTACCTTTCTAAGGTCACACAACAAAGTTCTATTCTTACAAGTTGAACCCAAGTGTCTCTTGCTCCAAAATCGAGCTCTTTATGATACAAAGTAAAAGGGCTGGCCAGATAGCTCAGCAGACTAAAGCACCTGCTTAGGCAAAGCACAGGGACCAGGGTTTGATCCCAGGTACCACATGCCATGCTGGCCCCACCCCCAGGGTGCCAAAGAGGGCGACTGAGACTGGGTGTGGTGGTGCCTGCTTGTAATCCCAGCTCTTGAGAGGCTGAAAACAGGAGGATCACTAAGAGTCCAATCTGTGTAGTGAGACCCTGTAGACCCTGCACTAAACACATAAAAAACAGATGTGAATTAAAGTACAGTGACAGTCTCAAAGCAAGGTAGAAACAGTAATGGAAATTTGAAGTACATCACAGCCATAATAACAGATGGCATCTTAGATTAAAGCAGAGACACTGATGTATTGCCTACTGCACTAATCCAATAACAGATGAAACTGGCACTAGAGAAAACACAGAGGGATACATATTATAGTTAAGATAAAAATGAATATACTAAGTAATGAATAGATAGTGGGCATCTGGAGGTAGAAGAATGCAAGTGTATAAAACCAAATTAGAAAGCTTGATACATATAGCATCCATTGGTAAAAGCCAGTTCAGGAGTGATACATAGTGATGACGAGAAAGCAGAAAATAGTTTCCAATGCGTATATTGTTTTTACTGTAAGTAGTGCTTTTACCAATAGTCCTTATTTAGAAATAATTACTACAGGCAAGCCCCTGCTTGCAATGTTCTATGTGCATCATCTCATTTAATGTATATATTTTTTAAATCCCCTACCTGCAAATGTAGGTGTGCTAGAATTCTTGCCAAACATTCATAAGGCTCTGGGTTCAATGTTACCATAAAAAACCAAACAAACAAATCCCTTCTACCACAAGTACTGTTACAATCCCCAACTGACCTAACAGTCATTTGTCTACAATGACATGTAAATATTGGCACAGGTAGGCTTATGTAAAACGCCTGTGTTCTTGATCTCTGGGATAGTATTTTGGAATGGTTAACGAAAGGGGCTTTAGGAATAGAAATGGAGAAAGAGATTATCATCAATGTGGAGGAAGAGATGGGAGAGAGACAAAGAGTAGTGGTTTAGAAAAGAGAAAGGTTGACACCAAAGCACTGAACTATTGTGAAGTAAAATTTCAAGGAAGAAAAGGATGATATGGAAAATGATGGGTCAGAAGAGAAAAGAATGGCCAATAGAATAATTTTAAAAATTAAACACTGGATTTGAAGAGGAGGAATTCGTGGCGACTTAGGATATGTTTAGTGACATGGAGTAGATAACAGCTGATTCACGTGGAGAAATGAATGGAGATGGGGCCATTTGTTAATTTATTTTATGACAAAGTCATTACAGTGTATGGAATATAGAGAAATACAGCAACTAGGTGTCGCATTGGTTGCAAAGGGCCCAAGATGCAAAAGAAGGTGTGGAAGAAGAGCGAGGTCATCACTGCATGAGAAAACTGAGTCACTCTGTGGAAGGATGCAGAAGCACCTCATGGTATCCATTACTCATCAAAGAGAGGCTAATGGTGCCCCAGGTTTTCATGGTTCCCAGTGCTAGCCTTCTATAAATAAACAAATTACCCCCAAATTATTCCAGCCCTTATCCATATGATCCCTTACAGGGATGTTTCTTCAGCAGCACTTTTGAGATTCTCTGAACTGCGTTCAATGCAAATGAGTATAAAGAACCCAACAGGGACCCATGTGATGGGGTCCAGGGCAGGGCATTGTTCTGCAAAGTGACTGTTGTCTAACTGAAAACAAAACAGATAACAAGGTTGAGCAACAAAACTATGACTGACTGTGATAAGGTTTCCCAGTGAAAGTTATCTAATAGAGAAGAGAGGTCACTCTGCATAGAACCATGAATGTTAAAAATTGATGTAGCTGACCCAGACCAATGTATTATGATTAATAGTAGCTCCATTAATGACCCACTAGGGAAACATGCACATATTTTATAGAACCTTCACAGCAACAGAAGAACTCAATGCCACTACCCTCCTTTTAAAAACAAGGAAACGGAAACCCTAAGAGACTAACCAATTCACCCCAGATCAGATAATCAGGCAGTGAACAAAAATTAAAAGCCAGCTCCCTGTGCCTGTGAGGTTAGCTTAGTAGACTAAGTCATGTTTTGACAAAATAATATGGCACTTTAGACATATATTCGAGAAAGGCAGAATTGAATTTTTGGGCTAGGTACATAAGATCGGAACTGAATAAACTTAGTGTATATTGTGACTGGTATCAACCCTGGAATTGTGGAAACCTGAAAGGTATTCTATTTCAAGGAAAAGTGTTATGCAGTATAAATACACAGTAGGTTATTGCAATGTTAAGTGTGAAAATTTTAAAAGATTTTGAGCATATCAACTGTGTCTTTCAAAGTCAATTTTTCTCATCTGTAACAATGGAAAAGTTACGAGGAATAATTACAGGCAGTAGGAAAAAAATGCAGATGCATCTGTAAAGTCACAGTAAAAAGATAGGAAAATAGATATGATGTGAAACAACAGAATGAATTTAAATAAGGCCACAAGAAAATAATGCACAAAGGGATATACTACCAAAACTATCCCCTGAAGGTTCTAATAGTTACATAATTGAGCATTCGGGGAAAGTGGGTGGGTCCTCTCCGGACCTCCAGATGCTGCCAGCCCTGGGTTCCTAAGCAGACACATTTCCTCCGAAATAACCAAGGCATGGACACAGCACACCATTATGCTTTGATAAGTTTAATAAAATATGCCAGATAGGGCAGGTATTTATCTGATGTCATGGTACCCATTCACCGGTGGGAAGGTCTACGAGCATGCTATGAAGCTGAAGAATGCAAGGAAATGGATGACGGTAAGATAGCGCTCTAAGAAGGTATTCAAAATAATATTTCAAAATACTGATCTTTCCACGGCTTACAGAAATTATTTCGTGCAGGCTTTCCTCAGCGTGAGTGCCTTTTCTCCGGCTTTCCCCCCTGGTGGAGAATTTGATTCTCTTTCGTCCCTCCCACTCAGCGCTTGCGGATTGCTTTAGAAGGCCAAGGCAGCCTGCTCAGCAGCAGGGAAGCCAGGCTGGGTGTTCGGGAGCTATATATAGCTCCACCTTGGAGACGCGCAAGCACCAGCAGAAATACAAATGTCCATGCTGGATTTGGCATGAAAATACGTATATATGAGTGAAGGAAGGTTGCAGTTCTCCCATCTTTTCTCCTTCCCATCAACCTAGTTTCTCAGGAATTTTTCTAAGCTGGGCGCCTGCGGTCTTGGCCGGCCGGGGGACGCAGCATTTGGTTTCTCTGCAATTCTTCCTACTGCTCTCAGCAATCTGACTCCACAAGGAAGCGGCACGGGGCCAACACCTAAGACCCAGATGCGGTCAGGCAAGGATGCTGCCTTGCAGCATTCTGGAGCCCATCCAGGCGCAATCACTGGACTCTGGGACTCCCTGAGACCAAACCCACCTTTCAGAAACTAGGTGAGGTGGTGACTCCCAACAGCAAACACCCGGCTGGGAGAGAAGAGGCAACGCCTACTGTCTCTGCCCCCTCGGTCTGCAGCGGGTCCTGGAGGAGGGCCCGTGCTCTCTCAATAGAGACGTAATTAATCGGAAAATGCCTTGAGTTGCAGGAAATTTTCCCCAACCCCCACGCCCGGAGGAAGCCAGTTCTGCACAGAGCCAGGCGCGGGCACGTCCTCCTCCCCGCCCTCGCTGCGATCCCCCGCGGCTGGTGCAGGATGCGCCAGGCGAGCCTGCAGGTGTAGCCTGGGAAGAGGAGAAGGTGCGGACAGGCGTGGGCAGCGCGGAGCCCCGGCGATCTGAGGCCCCGCTGTCGACCCCCGCTGGACCCACATAGCATCCCCCGGCGAGTGGCCGGCAGGTGCAGCCGCAGCTTGCCGAGGAAAGTTGAGAAGCCCGGAGCCGGGGCTGGGTCCCCTCTCCTGAGGCACTGCCGCCCTCCGCTACCTGTCACGCCCCGGCTGTAGCATCCTGCATCCTTCCATCCTGAGCCCGGAAACCTCCACCCAGGTCCCTCCTTCTGTATACTTCATGAGCGGAGCTACAGCGACCACAGGAGATTTGGGGTAACAAGGGCGGGGCCGCGGAAGGGGCCGGGAGGGGACGGCAGGAGACACGCGTTCTTCATTGCAAAGAAGGGCAAGCCTGCCTCCTACCTGTCCCCGGCTCCGGCTCGCCTCGGCGCGGCACAGCTGGACCATAGCCTACAGGTTTCCCACTTCCGCGGCAGACACCTGGGAGCGCATCTCGCTCCAGCGCCCCTCCTTGCCTCGGCGGAGCCCACCGAGCTACTTGACAGCAGCGCCCGGCCTCAGAGAGCGGCGATTGGGCCCGCGGGGAGAGTGGGGCGGGGACCTGAGAGAAACTCGGCTCTCTGATTGGACAGTAGGGCTATCACTCTCCCAAGATCAGAGCTAGTTGCGGACCCGGGTGGTGATGAAGCCAACCACAAGGGTCTTTGCAGCCCCTGGTACCAAAGCCGCAGCCGCTGGGTTCAGGACCCCAAAGAGAACTGAAATCGGCTTGAGGACTTGTCGCTTGAGGCGCCAAGCGGGCGGGAGGGGCCTGTACTAACCAGACAACCAGCATTTCTCAGAGCCTTCCTGAAGGGACCATCTGCTCAGGGAGATTTGATAGGCGAAAATAGAGCCAGAGCTTGGCGAGAGAAGCGTGAACTTCAGCTCCCAGACAGGAAAACAAAATACATGTGTTTGTGTTAAAAACAACTCAAGATTTTTTTAAATGTGGGGATTTTGCTTCAAGATTTTTTCCCCTAAATATAATAAGGTACTTTTTCTTACCCCAGAAAGAATGACCTGTTTCGGTTTAAATGGAAAAAACAAAAAAATCCAGATAGAAAAAAAAAAAAAATCATTTCAAATGGACAAATGCAGCGCAATAACCTCTCAAGAAACAGTAAAGGAAATAAACTAAGGAGCGAGAAGTGCAATTGGTAGCTGAAATCGTAACATAATCTCCAACAGCCTTAATTTCCTACTGATGTTAGTCCATCATTTCTGTATTGCTTCTGTTCAAACCCTGAGAGAACCTAGAAGGCACGAGAACCTTGGTGACTCCACGTATCCCTTCCAGTGAAGAAGGATGGGGTAAAATGACTTCACGCCCTTTGTTCATCTCCACGACCCATTCAGGGATAATCTGAAAACTATGAAGGTCAAGATACTCCCTAAATGGAAGAACAAATTAAGGTCATAAATAAAATTGGGGCAGTAAATGTCTTAGGCTAGTGCCTTCCTTCCTGTCTACAAGTAAAATCTTCTTCCACTTAAATTAAGCAAATATCTTAACGCTATTCATACAATTGATCTGCAAAGAGCTTATGATAGTCTTGGGACACTTAGACAACTGTTAGAGATGACATTGCTACTAAATGCCAAGTAAAAAGTGCAGACTGTTATTTAATATTTTAATTTTTTAATGTATTTATTTGGTACAGGGTTGCACTAAGAGCTCCGATTCCCAGTGATCCTCCTGTCTCAGACTCCCCAGCACTGGGATTACAGGCATGCACCACCATGCCCAGTTTTGGTGGCTGGCAAAATGTGCCCAGGGTTCCAGGGCTGGCACAGCATTTGGTACCAGGGATTGAACCCAGGTCCTTGCACTTGCCAGGCAGGTGCTTAGACTGCGGGGCTATCTCCCCAGCCTAGACTGTCATCTTAGTGCTTACAGTTGTTAATAATATTAGACCAATGATTTAAAAATAATTCCTTCAAGAGACCAGGCGTGGTGGCACACACCTGTAATCCCAGTTCTGGGGAGGTTGAGGCAGAAGGATCACTGTGAGCCTGAGCTGCGCAGTGAGGATCTGTACCAAATACATAAAATAATTAAATTTGAAAAATGATAACTTCATAATGTCTTTTTTTTTAATGGGAATGGGCCACTTGACTGGTAATTAACAGCAAACAAAAAATATGATTTGTGGGTGGGAATCCTCTTCACAGGGCAAGGAAATGACTGAAAATGCAAGGACAAGTTTCAGACTTCCTGAGTGGTGATGCTACCGAGAAGCCCTCTCGGGCCCGTGCCCTCCCCCGTCACACCATTTATTCCACTGACTTGGAGACGTCACTCATGAATTACCGAGCACGCATTCTGCGCCACACACTGTGGCAGGTGCTGTGGAACTAAGCAAGAAGGACACACTGAGCTTGTTACGGAGGGGCAATTAATGACAATCAAGGCGGCAAAAACACTGTAGTCAGAACTGTGCACTTCAACACCATCATCTTTTGATTCTTCACCATAAATTATTTTGGGCCACTTGGAGTTCCAGCCCACTCTCCTCTAGGACTGAACAGAAGAGAAGGCACACATTCAAAGAAAAACACAAACAGGGGAGCACAGGAATTGAATCCAGAGACACAAAAATACTAAAGAATTCTGTGCCATGTGCCTTCTTCCATTCCTTATTCACTCATTCCTTCAGCAGATATTACTGCAATTACAGTGGTGAATGAGAGAAAAGCTGTTATGAAGTCATCTTTTATTTTTAGGAATATAATGCTACTTTATTTCCAGATTGTGTATGTGTGTGTGTGTGTGTGTGCACGCGCACACATGCGTGTACCTGCATGTGTGCACCTGGGTACACATGTTAATGCTTTTAACTGAGGTGTAGAATTACGATTATTTCTAGAAGAAAGATTATTTCTATGTGGAACAGTCTCCTTATATATTTTAAAATAAAAGACGGTTTCCAAGTTATTATTAGTTTCAGAGAGAAAATCCTGTACATCTGCTTATGCTGCAGAACATTTTGCATTTTCCAAATGATTTCTAGACACAATTTCACCACATGTTCTTAAGTAAGGACAAGGGCTATTACTAACCTGGCAGTTATAAGACCCAACGGTATGTACAGAATGTTTGGTTTATAGTATACAACATACATCTATCAACAATACATACTTGTTGAATAGGTGGTTTATAAAAGTGAAAGTTTGAAAACGCTTAGAAATCACCAAGTTCTCCAGATTACTCTGTAAAGGAAGGAAGCAATTATAATTTGATCAAGATCATGCAACTAGCTACATACGGTATCCAGATCTTGAAGTTACCAGCCTTTTTTTTTTTTTTTTTTCTTTTGCGACCACACAAACAGTAACTTTTTCTAGTAGTTCTTCCAGCAGAATTCTTGTCTGCTTTCCTCCCTGGTTCCCTTTTCCCTTCTTCCAACTCTGATTCAGCTGGTGCCTCTGGAATCCGGCATCTGTATAATACACAAATGTCAACCTAAACTATGAATTTAAAAAAAAAAAAACAACCCATGGTCAGTAGCTCTTATGGCTCGCTTAGAAGTCCACGCAAAGCCTCATAGTCATAGTGGGGCTTTTGCAGAGGTGGCTGGGCACAGAGTGTGTTGTGCTGGGACTGATGCTCACCGCAGTGAAAGGATGAAGGGTGCTAAGATCAAGTGTGTGAGTGGTACCTGCCAAAAGGGCAGGACGCCTGAAAAAAATATATAAAGGACAGAATGTGGCTTGCCACTTGCTGTGTACCGCTTCACTTCATGTTCCTGTGCCATGCCACCCTGCCGTGGAGCCAGCCAACTGTGCACTGAAATCTCTGCAAACTGGGAGCCAAATAAACCCTCCCTCCTTTAGCTTGGGGCATTGGTATTTGTTGCAGCAAGGATCAAAGGTAACTAAGACAGGAGCTAAAATTGAGGTCTGTTCCACGAGTCAGCTCAAGGCACCTGGGACTAGTGTGGAGCGCTCGGAAAGGCTGATGGGAAGCGAGGGACCCCGACTTTCTCTCAAGTGAGGAATAACATCATAGCAGCACAGGTGTGGGTTCCCCTGCTCTGGCAGCCTCGTACAGAACATGTCTGCAGATTTCCAAAACAAAACAGGGGGACAATTTTCGCCATGCTCCCTGCGTGGCTCTGCCTTCTAATCACTTGCAGAGTTCCACGATATAATTTCTCCGGCATTGTACTGCTAAGCTTCTCCTGGCCCGGTCTCCTGTCTCACCCTCCTCCCACCCCACGCTGGCTCTCAGTCTTCAGCATTTCCATTTCCCCCAACCACCGATTAAATCTCAGTGAGCGGAGAGGAAACTACAGCAACAGCACAGCTCTCCCCGCGTGCTTCCCCGTTTCTCTCTGTTCCACCCACCATTTCCTCACTTTCAAGTTTCCCAGGAGAGCAGCTCCTCACACAGCCTGATGTGACAAAGCAGGGGGAGAGAAACAAAAGGGTTTTGGTTTTTTTCCCAGTCAAAATTTCAAGCTGTACTTGACATAGCAGAAATGCAACAGAGCCTCTGCCTATTGGTCTGAAGAGTCATGCTGAACCCCGCCTGCAGCATTTGGAAGATCACATCAGTCCACTGACCTAGCTTTCACAGAGCCAATGGGGGACACAGGCAAAGGGATGCTGGAGCGGCGTGTGAGTACACACAAGGGCCCACAGGTGCACGCGCGCACACACACACACACACACACACACACGCCATCTGCACTGTGTGGCAGGGAAATGAGACCAGGAAATTAGCTAAATACTGCAAATACAGTCAAATGTAGCAACTTACTACTAGCCAGAGCCACGGTGGTTTTTCTGGGGCTTAAGAGTAGGACTCGAATTCCTTTTGTTTTGGTGGTGATTGCTGTGTCCCCAAAGGGCAGACTTGTAGACCAAGCCACATGCTGACATGGCCAGCACGTCTCCACACTTCGCCTATTGTTTTACAATGGAGTCTACTTATTTCTTTTTCAATAACACCCCACACATGTGACAGGGCTCCATGTATAGTGTGACAGAAGGGCACATTCATGGTGGAAATGTCCTCTAACTTCTTTCAGCTCCTAGATCTCCTGGGGAGGGGCCAGTGCTCAAGTGAGCTGCTAAATTGCAGCTTTGGCCTCTGTTATTTGTGGAGAGTCAGGGAACAAATATCATTAAGGCACTGCTACTCAGCCTTCCTTACTTAATATGTTTTCTCTGCCTAACTAACTCCTATAACTGCTGGCACTGGAAATCCAATTTTCTGAATAGTTTTTTTGTTTTGGTGGAACTGAGGATTGAACTCAGGCACTTGCCAGGGAAGCGCTTATTCTACTGAGCCATCTCCCCCACCCCTTTTTAAAAATCCTTTGTGTGTGTGTGTGTATGTGTGTGTGTGTGTGTGTGTGTGTGTTACAAGGGATTAAACTCAAGACCCTGTGCTTGCCAAGCAAGCACTTATTCTTTTTTCTTTTCTTTTTTTTGGGGGGAGAATACTGGGGATTGAACTCAGGACCCTGTGCTTGCCAGGGAAGCGTTTATTCTA